AGGAATGGGGAGATTTACAGAACCAATCTCCTTTGGAGCAATTCAGTTTTATGCCTTCCAGACCAATTCGTTCTATAAAGAGGAAACTGAGGCAGAAAGAAAAATGTGATCCACCTCGGGATCCACTTATTTTAACTCCCAATACCTTCACCAATGTTCTGAAAACTCTCATAGCCCTATATACCCAGGACGGCTCCCTGGGTCAGCTCCACGGGCCCTTTAGAGTCACCTCCACAAAGGGACATTCAATTAGAAGCAATAATGTGGATAATTCACCACAATCATCCCTGCACCCACGTCTCTGATCAAAACTGCCCATTTCTACTGGACAGATTAACCGGAAGTCTGCCTTCCTCTCCGTTTTGCCTATGTAGACGCCACCTGAGACACTCCTCAGTCTCGCCACCCGAGCTGGACAGAGATGGGGCCCGTTGCTTGGTCGGCTTTCTCCACTGCACCGCGTCCCCAGGCGCCCCGAAGCTGGACGGGGCTTTGGCCAGCGAGCGCCAGGGCCGAGGGCCCAGAGAGGGCGCCTGGGCGGGCGCTGTCCAAGCGGCGGAGCGACGGCTGCTAGCACCTCCCCATCCCTCGCCGCGCCAGCACGCGGCCCCGCCGGGCTCGGCTCCCAGTCGCCTGCCACCGGCCCGCGGGACACACGCCTGGGGCGGGATGGAGGCTGCGCCAAGGCCGCCGAGGTGCCTGCCGCACCGCTGAACAACAAGGGAGGCTCCCCTGGGCCCCCAAGCTATATCACCCCCACCCCGCGCACAGTTCTTTTTCTCCCAGATCCACCCCGGGAATATTCCAGAGCGCTCCAGTTCTATGCTTCTCTCCAGCTGGTCTGGAAATAATCCTCTGAAGCGGAGGAGAGGGGAGATGCTACAGGCCAGCTGGAGGTCATCCTAGGGGGCGTCCCTGCCTCCACACACTTCTGATCACAACCACCTCTCAAGGCACTCAACTCCCTTCTCCTCGCTTAAGCCCCCCCACACTTGCTCAGTTGTGGGGTACACATCTGTAGTTTTTAATGCTGGAAGGGACATTAGGGACCATAGTATTCAATCATCTTGCCACAGAGGAGAACTCAGACTCAGATGCCACTTACCAAGGGCCACAGAGCTGGTAAGAGGAGAGGTTGGGACTCGAACCCAAGTCTTAACATAGTCCAGTACTTTTCCCACTACACTGGACTGAGTTCCCCCTCATCTTTCGGAATTCCAATCCTACAAATTTCCTTCAGCTCCTAAGGACAGTGAAGATCCCCAAGACAATGACAGCGGTGAGAAGAAAATAGAAAGTGGACTCCCACTACCCCCTAACCTCCAAACCGCCCCGTGCCACTTTCTGTGCTGAAACCCTTCATTGCTCCTTGCTCCAAGTTCTCAGTAGAATTCCCGTGCACTTCAAATCTTTCTACCATACACCCCAATTCGGAGTCATTCGCACCTCCTGCGACGCCCCCCCCCCCACTTTCTAGAGCCACCCCAGGCTGCAGCCCGCCCCAAGCGCGCTGCCTGTTTATTCAGCCCGGAGTCCGGCACGCGCCAGGCGCACGCACTGCAACAACAAACCCCGCTGAATGGAGAGTTTGCAAGGAGCGGGCGCAGCGAACGGGCGGGGGGAAAGGGGAGAAGGGGGAGTTTAGGGAGTGCGTGGGAGGAGGAGGTAAGAGGAGGGGGTAGTGGGGGCTGCAGCCGCTCGCTGCAGCAGCGGGGAGTGGGGGGCGAGGCGGGGCCAGGGCAGCGCGTGGGGCTGGGTGTCCCATTGAAAAGGCGGCTGCACTCCGGCTGCCCAGCACTCTCTCACTTCTAGCCAGGGAACGTGGAAGGCGACAGGAAGCCAGCCAGGGAGGGGGAGTGAAAGAAGGAAATTAGAAAGAAAAGGGGTTAACAAAATAATAAAAACAGCCTGAGCCACGGCTGGAGAGACCGAGACCCGGCGCAAGAGAGCGCAGCCTTAGGGGAAGAGAGAGCAAGCGACTCAGCAGAGCGCGCTCAGCACCGACTTTTGCTTCTGCTTCTGCCTTTTTTTTTTTTTTTTTTTTTTTTTGGTAGCAAGGCGCTAGCGGCAGCCTCACACGCGAGCGCCACGCGAGGCTCCTGAAGGGAGGAGGGGAGGGGGGAGGAGGAGTGGAGGGAGGACGAAAAGCATTTGCACCTTCTTTGCTCCCACCCTAAGAAGTCTCCCCGGGATTTGTATTTTTTAAATTTCCCTACGGGCTCCCTTTTCATTTCTCTCCTTCTTTCCCTCTCTGTTCGTGCACCCAAGTCCTGTCTGTGTCTCCCTCCCTCGCGCCCTCTCCTCGTGTCCCCGCTTGGTCCTATCCCGCGACTCCTTGGCCACCGCTGCGCATGGAGAGCTCTGCCAAGATGGAGAGCGGCGGCGCGGGCCAGCAGCCCCAGCCGCAGCCCCAGCAGCCCTTCCTGCAGCCGGCAGCCTGCTTCTTTGCTACCGCCGCAGCTGCGGCGGCGGCGGCAGCGGCAGCCCAGAGCGCGCAGCAGCAGCCGCAGCAGCAGCAGCAGGCGCCGCAGCTGAGCCCGGCAGCCGACGGCCAGCCCTCAGGGGGCGGTCACAAGTCAGCGCCCAAGCAAGTCAAGCGACAGCGCTCGTCCTCACCCGAACTGATGCGCTGCAAAAGGCGGCTCAATTTCAGCGGTTTCGGCTACAGCCTGCCGCAACAGCAGCCCGCCGCCGTAGCGCGCCGCAACGAGCGCGAGCGCAACCGCGTCAAGCTGGTCAACTTGGGCTTTGCCACTCTGCGGGAGCATGTCCCAAACGGCGCGGCCAACAAGAAGATGAGCAAGGTGGAGACGCTGCGCTCGGCAGTCGAGTATATCCGCGCGCTGCAGCAGCTGCTGGACGAGCACGACGCCGTGAGCGCCGCCTTCCAGTCTGGCGTCCTGTCGCCCACCATCTCCCCCAACTACTCCAACGACATGAACTCTATGGCCGGCTCGCCGGTCTCATCCTACTCCTCCGACGAGGGCTCTTACGACCCGCTCAGCCCGGAGGAGCAAGAGCTGCTCGACTTCACCAATTGGTTCTGAGGGGTTCGGCCTGGTCAGGCCCTCGTGCCCGAGGACTTTGGAAGCAGGTAGGTGGCATTTTGGGGTGTGCGTGGGGGGACTTTTCTTGTCTCCATCCTTTTTTCCTCCCTCCTTAGTGTCTGGAGGGGGATCTGTCTCCATGGAGATGAGGGGGGACTTTGATTTAAAGGATTTGTTGCCAAGTTTGTCAATTTCAAATACTAGTTTGTTAGTTTCAGCGGTGGCTTCCAAGAGTGGGCTTTGCCCCGTTCTCCAAGGAGGGGTGAGGTGAGGAGATGCTGGTGAACTAAGGACTGGGACGTGTCTAAAGAGGCGCTGTACCTGACAGACCCTCCCCCAAACCTCCATTTCACCCAACCACTAGCCTCTAAGTTCACACTAACCTCTACTGTTCTTTATGTTATAGGGTGACCTCACAACCTGCATCTTTAAGTGTTTTCCCCTCAGCAACGTTGGGAGGGAGGAAGAAGGGGGAAAAACAAACAAAAAGATGGAGAAGAGAAAGAAGAGAAGGAAAAAAAAAAAAAAAACCCAGGCAAGCAACCTCAACGCCGCTAAGCAACGCATGCGGGAACTGCAAGACTCTCCGAGAACAGGGATGCGCTCAGAACAGTATCTTTATACTCCAATCATTTACGGAGATATTAAGAGCGACTAGGACCTGAGTCAACGCACAAAACGCAGCTTGTGTGGAAAACCAGTGCGCTCCTGGCGGAAGCAGCACACGCCCTATAGAAACTCCCACCCATCACTAACACAGTTGAAAGTGCTTGCTTGGGTGCATACACCATCCTGCCCTCTGTCTCAGCTCAGTTCTTAGCCCTCTAGAAATGGGTTGATGTCTCATCCCAATAAACTGTGGACATCTCTCTGCAGTGAAACTACGTGATACTTAGTTTTTTTGAAATCCCTCTCCTCTGGGACCCACTCCCCCAAGCCCTAAGCCCTCCCTCACACCGTCTTTTCCACCATTTTCATCATAGAATGCTTCCAATCTTTTGTGAATTTTTTTTTATTATAAGAAAATCTATTTGTATCTATCCTAACCAGTTTGGGGATATATTAAGATATTTTTGTACATAAGAGAGAAAGAGAGAGAAAAATTTATAGAAGTTTTGTACAAATGGTTTAAAATGTGTATATCTTGATACTTTAACATGTAATGCTATAACCTCTGCATATTTTAGATGTGTAGTTCACTTTACACCTGCCATTTTCCCTATGTGGTTTTGTAGAGAACTTTCCTCATAGGTGAGATCAAAAGGCCACCAGATGGACTTCAGCACCAATGTGTCTTACTTTATAGAAACTTTGTTAATGTATTAATGATGTTATTAAATACTGTTCTAGAAGAACAAAGTTTATGCAGCTACTGTCCAAACGCAAAGTGGCAGCCAGTTGGTTTTGAGAGGTTGCCTTTTGGGAAATTTCTATCACTGCCTTTTTTTTTCTTACTGTTTTATTACAAACTTACAAAAAAAAGAACATGTATAACCCAGTTTTATACAAACTAGTTTCGTAATAAAACTTTTTCTTTTTTACAAATGAAAATAATCAGCGGCCTCCAAACTTCTTTGACTCAGCTGCCCCTGACCAAGTTATTATTGAAATGTCCAAGAGAAGGGGCGGATGGATGGGGGAGAGGAAGGTGGTGTCAAACATGCTAAGTGGCAGCAATGACAAAGATAAATGCTATATACCCACTAGTGCCTCTATGATGAATGTAGAGGGGAAAAAATATGTAGGTAAGAGTGGTTTTTATTCCTCTTCTGTGATGCAAATACGTACACATACACGGAAAGAATCCAAAAAGGAAAAAACAAAACAAAACCGTTGCCTTCTAGTGGATTCAGACTCATAGCACCCCTATGGGCGGTGATTAATGGCTGCAACGTCCTTTGATGAAATCATTGCACATTGGAAAAAAAAAAAAAAAAAAACTCCCCAAAAGAGTGAACTGCTAAGACAGGGCTCTCTGCCCCACTTTTCAATCCTGGCCCCCACTCTGAGCTTCTCATTGTGCCACTGGGAAGGGCTGGATAAAATAACGGAGTCTAGGAGTGGGTGGAAGGATGGTGGTGCTAGAGTTGGGCGGGGTGCGGGGTAGCTCCCTGTAGTGGGTGTGTTCCTCTTCCTTCACTTCCAGGCACATTTTCTACTCCTTCGTCCCAATCTGCACACTTTCCATATTGATTTTAAGTAAGAGGCACGTATGCTATGTATGCATTCCTTGCGGAAGGAGTTAGATTGAAATAAATAAAAACCCTGGAAATGTGTGGTCTCTGAGACACTGGCCCATCTAAGCTTGTGACTCTATCCGAATAGCGTGAGCTGCGTGTAAAAGTACCCAATTACCAAGATTCAAAAAGAAATTAGTGGGTTTTTGGCTGGCTCGCTTCTTGTCAGTTAGCAAGGACGTGATCAGAATCCTACCCCGCCTCTCGCCTGCTCCTCGCTCGCCGCCTGCAGTACTTGCAGATTCAGTTTGCGTGTCTCCAGCCAAGCGGAAAGGCGAGCGCAAAATGCATCTTACAAAACCCAACAAAGAACGGGGAGCCAGCACGTCTTCTGGAGTTAAAAATCTAGTCTGTGTTGGTACATCTATACCGTTTAGCGGCACAGAATAATCATTTTTTAAAGCCGCGATGCGCGGAGCACGACACAGCGTCTGATGTCATTTTGCTAAATGACCCTCTATAGAATGCACATTGTGGCTTCAGTCCCTTTCAAAGAGATGAGCGTAATTAAGAAAAAAAAAAATCAGTAAATTCCTCCTCGCCATAAATAATCGGACTTTTTGCCAGCAGTGGGCCAATTTAGAGCTTTACTTGAGGGAAGTAGTGCTTTTGTGATGCTTGCTTTTATTTTATCTTCTCCTTTGGAGGATCAGAGCTGGGCTCCCCCGACCCCCACCATTTCTTTTCTTTTAATTTCTCTCCTTTGCAAGTTTCCAGATAAGGTATGCAAAGAAAGTGTAGCAAGTCATTTATGGCTATGAATATAACATTAGGATAACGTTGCAGCCCTCACAAAGGGGATTTCTTTTTCTTCTCCTCCTTGTGAGAACAGGTGTTCTTTTACTCACTTCTGAATGGGGGATATCCAGTCTCGTTAAACTCGAGGCAAAGTTAGCCGTTGTTTGCCACAATGTGAAGGCAAACTCGGAAAATTCACAAACACACACAATTTTGCCGAAGCTAGGAAAGGGCAAAGCGAGGATTGGGCAAAATCTCATTACATCTGCTCTAATCGCTTAGCAACACAAAGCCGGGGCTTGTGCGGCGAAGGGAAGCCATTCACAGCGCCCTGACAGGCCGCATTCAGTCGGCATTAGTCAGCTCCATAAATCACCGCTGCTCATTGGCTGCGCTGCGGGCTTTGCAGCGACCCGGGGCTGTCGGCGAAACACAAAATGTACACCCCAGCCGCCAGCAATCGCGGCCTCGCCCACGGCCTAGCGTCCACCCCACTTTGGGGAGGGGGATGCTGGAGAAGAGAACAGCGTTGACTTTATTGACTGAGAAATCTTACCTATTCAATAAGTGGTCTGGAGACCACAGAATTAAGGCTGGAGACACGGCTGAAATTGATCAGGACGAGTAGGGAGAAAGCAAAAATAGCCGCTGGCTGCAGAACTGTTGAATGCACGTGTTATCAGAGGCTGGGATGGAGCCACCGAATACGCGGTTCACCTTCCTAACACAATCTTTTTCTTAATTGGGGGTGGGGGTGTGTATGGAGGAGAATCTAGGTGAAGTTCAAATCAGCAGGCCCACCAAGTAAGAGAGAAGAAAACATTCTGCTCTGGGCCTAAAGCATCAAAGGGGTGGGACTGAGATGGAGTGAGAAAGAATGGAGTGTGCATTTCCACCTCACTGTTGGAGCCCTGGTGGCAAAGTGGTTAAGAGCTAGGCTTCTAAGCATAAAAGTCAGCAGTTCGAATCTACCAGCCACTCCTTGGAAACCCTATGGGGCAGTTCTACTCTGTCCTACTCCAACTATGAGCTGGAATCGACTGGACAATAAAGGTTTTTTTTTTTTTTTGGTTTGGTTCTTGCAGGGAGGGGGATGCTGGAGCACAGATGCACAAGGCCAATGCCTTCTAAGTTTCAACATTCTTGTTTGTAAAGCTGATGCTACCCACTGCACTAAGATTAGACAATGTTTGTAAAGGAGTTAGCAAATGGCCTTGTGGAGACATTGCTTACATTACAAACCACGTCTAAATGTTAGTGTCTGTTGTTGCTGTTATCTGCTACTCCTGTCTCTCATTTTCATGGGGACTGGTCAGCTGATGTGTTCAAATCACAGTTTAGATTCCAGATTTACACAAACAAACCAGATAGAAAGAGGAAATCGAGCAGACGTGGAGTCTGGGTAGCCTTTCCTGGGAAATCCAGGTTGTTTTACTTCAAACATCGTCTTCTTCCAGAAGCCTTCCCTAACCATCTTATCTAAAACAACTTCTCACCCTCCAACCACTCTCAAATCCATTGTCTTGTTTTCCTTCCTGGCTTTTACCACTATCTGAAAATACTGCATATTTGTTCACATGATCATTGTCAATTGCCACCTACTAGATGATAAACTCCAGAGGACAGGGACCTTGACTGTCTTGTTCACTGTTGCCTCCCCAGCCCCTGGAGAGAGGTATTGGTTGCATGAATGGATGGTCTGCTCTGTTCTATTGGTCGCTGTGTTGCTTGCTTATTCTTCCTTTCCTCCTCCAGATCAACTCTCCACCCTTCTCTGCTGATGAAGCTGATCTTTATGGACTTTATCACTAGGGTTGCCTTGTCCTTGGGCTTCCTGTTGGACATGGTCAATGGGCTACACCAGTAGGAGATTACAAGGTAGGAGGGAAATGAGCCAGGGCATTTATATCTCCTCTTCCACACTGCTTGTCCTCAGTTGCTTTGGCAGTCACTCTACTCCTTGGTTTAAGAGAAGCCTTGTAGGAGGCCTCTCTCCCTCAGCTACAGCCCTTCTGGGGTCCAATAACAGGTCCCTCCTCTGGCCCCCTTCAGACCCAGAGGTATAACAGCTCCGCATTGTTGCCAGTCCTTGGGTACTGCATCATTTTGGTTCTCTTAACCCCACCCACATTTCTGTTGTTCCATTAAACTCTTTTTACTTACCCCGTTACATGTACCATCTGCTCCTGCTCACCCTGACCGAGTCACTGGATAGTCCCCCACAGGATGTCATGGATGTACGAGTTTTGTGTAAGCTTTTCAGGGACTTATGGGACTATCAGTAAGAAATGACCTAACACAGTGTGAACCTTGGCACTGTGGCCTTAGTGTCCTAGCTCTGTCCAACACCTAAATCTGGAAAATCACTTCCTTCTGTTTGACTCAGGAATGATTTATCTGAAAGTTTACAAGTCAGTTACAGTTTTCTCTTCTGGAAAGTGAGGATAACAATACCTTGCCTTGCATACCTCACTGAGAGACAGAGAGAGAGCTGCAGTCAACTCCTACTCATGGCAACCCTATTTACAACAGAAGAAAATGCCACCTGGTCCTGCAACAATTTGGCCTGTCCTGTGTTATTGAGGCTATGGTGCTAATCCATTTCACTGAGTATCTCCCTCCCCTTGCTGACCCTCTACTTCACCAAACATGATGTCCTCCTCTAGCAATTGATCCCTCCTGATGAGATGTCCAAAGCAAGTAAGTTGGACAATGTTCTGTTGTGACTCATAAGGTTTTCATTGGCTATTTTTGCAAGTAGATCACCAGGTCTTTATTCTTAGTCTCACTTAGTCTAAAAGTTTCTCTGAAACCTATCCTCTATGGGTGACCCTGCTGGTATTTGAAATACTGGTGGCATAGCTTCCAGTATCATAGCAACACACAAGCCACCACAGTATGACAAACTGACACAGCAGACAAAAAATGAAAAGGTTTTATAACTGTGGATGACTATATCAATGCAAGAGATAACCACTTCTCAGGATCTTCCTGAAGCAGGTAGAGAGGTGGCGGTGACAATTTGCCACCAAGGTACAACAATGACATTGCTGCTGTTGGGAAACCTTTCATCCATTCATTCACCCATTCACTCACTCAGCCATTCAAAAAAGGAAGGTCAAATGACTAAATTTAGTCAGCATTTCTAGAACTTGTCTTAACTTGTATCTTCTAGAAGGAACTCTCCCAGAAGCAGGGAAGGATTAATCAGCAAGCAAGGTACCCACCGGCTTACAGCAAGGTACCACCACATCTTTGATGTGGTGAAAAACAGGTGAAATTGTGCACTACAGATTAATAAGTAAGCACAAGTGAACCCGTGCATAATTACTAATCTGTACTGCACGATTTCACATGGGCTTCACTACACACCTGACGTGGTGAAAAACAGGTGAAATTGTGCAGTACGGATTAATAAGTAAGTACTTATAAGCCAGCGCGTACCTTGTTTGTTGGGTAATCCGCCCCTGCCCAGAAGCATGTTTTAGGGCAGCCTATTTTCAAACACAATGTATGCTTCTCCAGTGTACTGCAAGCCTGCAACCCTATTCCGTTTCCTGTTGCTGACAAGTCTAT